GCTTATAAAATGTGTAATAAGAGTCCAATTGTCTTAAAATTTCTCATATCCCAATATTTCTTACAACGCTAAGTCTGGCATGTAGATGGGATAGGTCGGATAACTCCTTTTGGTACCTCAGACCCCCACAACGGGACAAAATTTTGAATACTTATATCTTTTATGGAACAGGAAATAACCATCCAATTCTTTTTAAATTTCACAAATCTGAGAATTTTTCTAACACAAGATCTGATCACTCCTTCTGCTACGACCCTCATAAAGTGTCAAAATTTGGAACAATTATAACTGTTATAATATGTGATATATGAGTCCAATGTTCTTCAAATTTCACACATCTTAATATTTTGACTAACACAGTATCTGGTATAATGAACCGATAAAACAGACCACTACTTCTGGCACTTCCTCAAGAAGGGTTTAAAATTTTGAATAATATAATAAGAATTCGATTTCTTTTAAACTCGGCGTATCGCAATATTTTTATCAACGCAAGATCTGATGTGAAGATGGGATATAATGGACCACCAATTCTGTTACCTCCCACACAATGAGTCAAAATTTTGAATAATAATAACTGTCATGGAGCGGGAAAAAAGCGCCCGATTCTCTTTAAATTTCACACATCCCAATATTTTTACTAACGCAAGATCTGGTTTGAAAATTACAGGTATCGCCCCACCCCTCCTGGTATCTCCCACACAAAGGGCGACAATATTCAATGCATATATCTCTTATAACCTGGGAAACAAGTCAACGATTCTTTTCAAGCTTGTTATATCTAAATATTTCTCTCAACCCGAAACCTGAGCTGAATATGGAATTTATGGTTTCGCATAACATTCGATATAAATTTTCGATTTTCTTGTAATGTTGCCCATACCAATATTTTTATCTGAAAATGGAATATTTCGGTCGACTATATATGGTACCTCACGCACATTTTAACATTTTCTAAAAAACCAATATTGTTCAAACCTGGCTCTTTGCAATATTTATATCATATTTATATAGATTCGACGGAATGGTCAATATTGGCACATTCCTTCGGAACCTTGTAGGCTTTCCAATGCCAAAAGTCGATTAATCGAATGTGACCGATTTGGGAACTAATTTCCTTCCAAACACGGTCAGTTTGGTTTGCTGGGAAGACACTTTGAATTGTTCGTTCTTAGAATCTGTTCATTCCGGATAGTTGTGAAAACGGCTGCCCTTCTGTAACTACTTTATTAAAAACAAGCCGGTTAGTGGTCACCAATTAAATTCTATCGAAAAAGTATACACGACTTTATTCTAAAAACTTTCTAACAATGTCATTTCTATTTGATAACAAAAGAGAGCGTAAAAGTTGTATGCACTTCATGACAATCGACCCCCTGCACCCCTCCCCTTCTTACGCCACGGTCTATTGGGGCGAAGAGCAAAACTTCGCTGATAGAAGAGCTAACAACAACAACAAACGCTAATAATGTCGATGAACGCATAAATGTCGCTTTGTGCGGCATTTGTTATTGTTGTTGTTGTTTTTTGTTATTATTATTATATGGCCAGCTACACTACGATGGTAGATTGTTTTGGCCATTAAAAAAGCTCTAGCCGGTCAGTCAGCGGCTCTCCATTGTTTCATTTCATATTGGCAAGTTACTTTTTTCGTCGTTTCATTCGTTGCTCCAAATGACTAATGTTTTTGTCGTACACTCTTGGACACACACATACGCACGCACGCACACACACATGCGTTCCTCTCAACTCTGTTTGACTATTTTTGGCCAAACAGGCAGGTAGTCTGTTAGGCAAGCCGGCGGCGGCAGTCTTACCCAGTACATTAGAGGCTTAAAATTTCATGTTTTTTTATCTTCAGAATTTTGAAATTTGTTTTTGCGTTTTATTTCTCCAAAAAAAGATAAATAAAACTAATGTTGTCTATTTCTGCTTCTTCTTCTTTCTTGGACTGGATGTTAATGACTTTTTCTACTAAATTGTGTCATGCTGAGCCCAGATATTTAATTAAACGGCATTGACGGTTTTGTGTGGGAAAATGACCAAAAACAAACACTTCAATGTCAGAGTAGAAGGTATTCTTCAAAACTTGGGCCATTAATGGAAAAGAATGCTCTTTGTTGGTTGTAATAATTTACCCATTTGCAATTTGATGCTCCCAATAGAAAACTGATGGATTTTCTATTGTTGTCAAATACCTATGAAGGATGTTGCGGCTCTACTTTACCGAAATGCTAATATCAGAAGAGAATATTGGGGTTTCCACATCCAAATTCTAATGCAATGAAAATGAATAAGTTAAAATCTCATGAATCATGGGGTGTATGATTCCATTTTTTGTTTGTGTCACTCCCAATGACATCCCACAGTCATTGGAGTTATGTACCAAAAAGACTCGTCAAAATGTCATTCCTCGTGGAGAAAATCTCCCTTGGAAAAATCTTTTTATATTTTTGCAAAAATATCAAATTCGAATAGCTGCCATTTTCCGTCTCCAAAACATATGCATAATTTGATATGCATTTCTATACCCCACTTTGTCTTTTTTGTGAATTTCCTACCCTGAAAAAGGCACAGCAATGTAAAATTAAGTCATTGTTGTCGATGATAATGGAAAAACAGACAGACAGACAGCCAGATTCGCTCATTTGTATCGCGTACATCATCTGAATACATTTCCCACTTCGCCAAACTAGCGACAATGGTGAAGATGATGTTATTCTATATGACTAGAGCACTTGCCGGTCCGAATTTGCGCTTGCGTGTAACAACTTTTGCCTTGAATTAAAATCATAATTATTTTCATAGTCGAGGAGGGTACCCACTTCTCTTTATTTTTTGTCATGATCGTCTTGGAACAACGGTGGCACAAGACCCCATAAGGGAATCATCAACAACACACATCACTTGTTCCCCTACCTCCCAAAAAAAGGCAACATTTTTTCATGGTATTTTACGGTTTTAACTAAACGGAACCACAGACTTCATTCATTGATCATTAAAGCGGCGTCGCCGTTAACGATGACGCTGACAGCGACGGCAACGCATACAGGGCTATTTCTCTCTCTCTCCCTGTCAGTCTCCGTATCCACACAATAGTGGACTCAATGAATTGTAGAAAAACCCCTTGGTTTGATTTGTGATTACATCCGGTTAATGTTGCGGGAACAGCAACACTTCAACATAACACCAAAGCAAAGCAAAGAGGAAGGAAATCCAAAGCACCAAACTTACCAACATCAACACAAAAGTGGTTCCAAAATCCAACAACAAATCTGAAACAAATTTTGTTACTCCACTTTTACAGAATCGACGGATGTTGTTTTCATTTTCTAAATCAAAAAAATATATCCAAATTATTGAAACATGCTACGAATGTAACAGCAAAATAATTACGTAACCAACGAACAAAAACAAACGAACCGAATACAGCATTCGAAAAAGCGCACATTGAATATTGTATGTATAGAATAGACAAGGAATTCGGAACGGGTCAGAATAAAGGATTTTCTCTCAAGGGAGGTACAATAGCCGCCACCAGCACAACTACTGGCTGTCAAGATCGCGAGGCAACAATGCATTCGACGAAAACCTCCACTGCTTCTTCATCGTTGATGAAAAAGCGTGGCTCAGGTTATTCAGGAAATTCCACAACGGCCATAGTACCATCACGCGGTCCCGCCATTACCACCAACATCGACGAGCAGAGCGCCCAGTATCAGCATCAATTCAAACATGAAAAGACCATTGAGGCCGTAATCACCGATTATCCGGGTGTTGCTCCCGCTTCGGCCACACCGCATGAACGCCTGTCTTATGATCGTTCTTTGGTGGTGCGCAAAAGTTTCCGCAACGGTGGTGGTGATCCGATCCCAGTAACGCAAACCGTGGTAGCCGTTACCACCACCAGCCCTGGCCATGATCGTCATGATCTGCAAGAGTCATATCAACAGGTGACACGCAATAAGCGAATTTCCACCGAAATACTCGGATCAAGTGTCGAAAGTACAAAAACTTCACAAAGGGGGCCAAGTGGCCACCGACGCATAACAACACACATTGTGCGTAAGGTCACCACACTGAGCCGGGCGGAAGAGCAACAATTACCACCCGAAGATCTGTTGCCACCAGCGAAAATGGTGCGCAGCAGTGAATTGGAATATCGTCATACACTGCCGCGAACCACAGCTCTGCCGGCCATAGAGCCGGCATCATCGACAAGCACAACCATACGACGCACAAAGGTAATTGGGCAGGAAGCTTGTTTGCCAGCCAAAGGAAATCAAGACACGCAAAACTGCAACGAAATACTTGAATCAAGAAAACCTTTTTTTAGAATTTACAATGGTTTTTTGCCCGTGATATCAGAACTGAAATATAGACCCTTAAGAATATTCATGGGCTGGCTAGCAGCAAAAAAGGAAAAAAAGTGTAGCATAATTCAAATATTGCCTGAAAACATTTCTGACGCTTAAGTCAGCCGTTGGCTTTAAATGAAAATGAATAGAGGAATTTCATAAGGATCCCCTTCGAGCTAGGCCGCTCTCTTTAATATTCGCTTAATTATCATGGCTGCCAAGGGATTAACCCAGAAAAATTCACTCTTATATGCCTAGGCATAAACTTCTTTCACTGCAAACTTCCAACATTCTTAAAAAATATTTTCAAAATAATTTAAAAGAATTTGTCGATATCAAAAGAATGCTAAAATATTGAAAAACTCAGAGTTTTTGTTTTCGTTCGCATTAATTTTCTTTCGACATACATATGTAAATAAATAAGCCCTTCAATTTCCTTTCAAAACAAATAGCAATTTTTTTTTGAAATTCTTATTCCTATTATTTTCTAGAATCTATGTCAACTAATATTTCTATATTTTAAAGAATGTTAAATTTCCACCCAAAACAATCAAACACCGCTCTTGGGACAACAAAACCTTAAAACATTGCCTCCCTCTCAAACGTCGAATTACTAAAATTTCAATTTTTTCCCCATTTTAGATCTCCGATATTGTTGTTGGCAAAGAAGACAATGTATCAGCACGTGAGGCACTTTTGCGTTGGGCCCGTCGCTCTACTGCTCGGTATCCGGGAGTTCGTGTCAACGATTTTACATCGTCATGGCGCGATGGTTTGGCATTCTCAGCCCTGGTTCATCGTAATCGACCGGACTTGCTTGACTGGCGAAAGGCAAGAAACGATCGACCAAGAGAACGCTTGGAGACTGCATTCCATATTGTTGAAAAGGAATATGGCGTCACTCGCCTATTGGATCCCGAAGGTAAGTACTCAAAAAATGGTATTCCGATGTTTAGAGCCATCCATTAACTTTGTCTGCATCTCTCCTCTTTAGATGTTGACACCAACGAACCCGATGAGAAATCTTTGATTACCTATATATCATCGCTGTATGATGTATTCCCAGAACCACCAGCCATTCATCCACTCTTCGACATGGAATCACAACGCCGTGTCCATGAATATCGCGATCTGGCACAACAGTTCATCTATTGGTGCCGTGAAAAGACAGCATACTTGCAGGATCGCTCCTTCCCGCCCTCTCTAATCGAGCTGAAGCGTTTGCTGAATGATCTACACACCTTCCGCAACGAAGAGGTATCGGCTCGCAAACGCGAAAAGTCGAAATTGATACAAATCTACAAAGAACTCGAACGTTACTTTGAAAGTATCGGTGAGATCGATGTAGAGGCCGATTTGCGACCTGAGGCCATCGAAAAGGCTTGGTATCGGATGCAAACCGCCATGCAGGATCGCGACATGATTCTGCAACAGGAAATTGAACGTTTGGAACGTTTGCAACGTCTTGCCGACAAGGTGCAGCGTGAAATTAAACACGTTGACATGAAAATTACCGATTTGGAGACGCGCATTACCGAGGAGGCCAGACACATTGAAACTCTGCACCCAGTCAATGCCAAGAATATTGTCGAATCCTTGGAAACGGAAATCCGTCTCCTGGAAGAACCTCTGCATGACATGAATCAGGATTGTCACGTACTCAACGAAGGACGCTATCCACATGCCGCAGAACTACACAAAAAGGTCACTAAGCTTCATCAACGCTGGGCTCAGCTACAAACTACATTCCACACAGTTCTGTTACCAAAGTTATCCGGACTGAAGTATCCCGTCCATGAAAAGACCACAACACGCCAACATCGCATTGTAGTCGAATCACGCCAAATCGAAACAAATCCCCTCTTCAAAGACCTGTTGGAACACATTGAATGGTGCCAAAACAAATTGAAACAAATGCTTGCCGCCGATTACGGCTCCGATCTGCCCTCCGTGAAAGAGGAGCGCGATCGCCAACAACATGCCCACAAAGTCATCGATCAATTCCATGCTAAAATACTCAACGACGAACGCCAACAGAGTAAGTTCTCTGGCGATGAACTGAATCTGTACCAGCAACGCTTGAACCAATTGCAAAAGGTATATGCCGAACTATTGAGCACATCAACGAAGCGTCTGTCCGATTTGGATACGCTGGAGAACTTCTTGGCTCAGGCCTCGGCTGAGTTGCAGTGGCTCAATGAAAAGGAACAAATCGAAATAACACGTGACTGGGCCGACAAGAACTTAGATTTGGCCTCTGTGCACAGATACTATGAGGTAAGTAGCAATGACAGCGTCCATATTCCTATTGAGCAATTGTCTACCGCTTGATCGATCCACTGTAAATTGTCCATAACATGCTAACAACATTGCTTTTTCTATTCATATTCTTAATTCTTGTAATTTTCATAACAAGCGTGCATTTGGTAATGGAGAAGAGGTGAGATAGAAAACGAATCGATTTTATAATTTGGTTATCAATATTAAAATAATTAATTGGTTTCGAAAGCCCCTTCTTATGTTCCTTAAAGATTACACATTCATTATTTTCAAATATTTTTTTATTTTCATGTGGAATTTTTTTGAACAAATTTTAATTTTAATAAGTATGTTTCATTAATTAAACATGTTTTTAGTTAATTTTATTTTTTTATAAAATATTTTCAATTGGATTTTTCTTAAAATTAAAAATAGATTATTGCAAACATTTCAAAATTAATCTCTTACCAAGTGCATTAATTTTGTTAACTGCTTACGGTTTGGACAAGTCAAAATTATGAAGAACTCTTTATTCTATTGAAGTGATAATAAATCTAATCGATGTGGAACATTAAACAACATGTTCTGTTGATGAATGGATTTAATATTATTAAGTCAGTCCAAGAACTGGACATCTTGTCAACTCTAATTTTTATATGAATGTGCATTATGTCCCTTCTGCAATATGATGCACTGAACGTGAAGTATCATAGAACTGGCAAGTTATATTTGCGAGACCTGCATATGATGCCTGCCTACAAAACCCATTAAAATAGAGCGCAATTGGAAGCAATCCTGACTTTTTTTAAATATTAAAATAACACCGCTGTCTAATATAATAATATATAACACAGTTCTACATTTTTAACGCTTACTTTTTCGTTTTTATTTCTTGTGCTTATTTAATTAGTTTTGTTTTGTGACGCCTTTAATGTTTTATTGTTTTTCCTCCATTATTCATACTCTTTATTCTCTTCGATTTCACAGAATCTTATGTCGGAATTGGAAAAACGTGAATTACATTTCGGTACCATACTGGATCGCGGTGAAACGCTACTCAGACAACAGCATCCCGCATCCAAGTGCATTGAAGCTCACTTAACAGCCTTGCAGCAACAATGGGCATGGCTTTTGCAATTGACCCTCTGCCTGGAAGTCCACTTGAAACATTCCACCGAATATCATCAATTCTTTGCTGAAATTAAGGATGCCGAACAATGGCTGAGCAAACGCGATGAAATTCTAAACAGTGAATATTCCAAGTCAGAATTTGGCCTGGATCAAGGCGAGGCATTGTTGCGTGGCATGCAAGATTTGCGCGAGGAATTGAATGCCTTTGGTGAAACGGTGGCCCAACTTCAGCATCGAGCCCAAACTATTGTACCTTTGAATAAACGACGTCAACCAGTGAACCGTCAAAGCCCAGTTCAGGCCATATGTGCCTACAACCAACAAGGACAAATTCCTGTCGAAAAGGGTGAAACTTGTACCCTCCTCGATAATTCGGGACGTGTCAAATGGCGCGTACGTACCACAAAGGGCCAAGAAGGTTTGGTGCCCAGTGCTTGCCTACTTATGCCACCACCAGACAAAGAAGCCATCGATGCTGCCGAACGTCTCAAGCGGTTATTCGATCGTTCTGTCAGCCTCTGGCAAAAGAAACATTTACGCCTACGACAAAATATGATCTTTGCCACCATACGAGTTGTCAAGGACTGGGACTTTGATCAGTTCTTGGCCATGGGACCAGAACAGCGTACCGCTATACGTAGAGCATTGAATGATGATGCAGATAAACTGCTTAGTGAAGGCGATCCCAACGATCCACAATTGAGGCGTTTGAGACGTGAAATGGATGAAGTTAATCGTCTGTTTGATGAATTCGAAAAGAGAGCTAGAGCGGAAGGTAAGTGTGCTATTCTCTCTATATCTCTAATTGTAGGGAGGAGGAAGAACAAGAGATAATCAATTGCCCAATACGACCCAATCAATAGGGGAAATAAAACAATGAAAATATTTTAAAATCGCTCTTAGTCGTGGGTGTTACGCTTTCCATCCCAAAATGCCTCTGTACATCTTTTTTGTCGTCACGCACTTGAAAAGTAATGGCTTTGAAGGTAAACTAGTGGGCGCTTTGTGTCTGGAAAACGTTTCAATTACCGCTTAATTGAAGAAAATATGTCTTTCAAACATCTGGTCGATTTTCGCGAGCAGTTGTCAACAATCAGACTCGTTGTCGTTAGTTCTGTCGATGAAGTGCAAGTAAAAAGTTCGATATTAAAATGAAGAATTTATTCGCAAGTCGAAAAACAAGGGGTACAATAAAATTAGTTATTCTCTTTTTTTCCTTTCTCCTCCTTCTTGGTCTTCTTGTTATAAATTCTAATATATATGCTTTGTGCTTTTACAGAGGAAAGTAAACAAGCCAGTCGCATCTTCACCGAAGAATGCATTGCCATTAAGGGTAAATTGGAAGATATGGCCCGTGAATTGGAGCAAATCATAAGTGCTCCTCTGCCCCGTGATTTGGATTCTTTGGAACATGTTTTGGAAATTCATGCCGATTACGAGAGACGTCTGCAACTTTTGGAACCAGAATTGCAACATCTGCAAGAGACCTTCCGTACCATTGCATTGAAAACACCAGCTCTCAAAAAGAGTTTGGATAATTTGATGGTCTTGTGGAAGGAATTGAATACGCTCAGCAACTTGCACAAGGATCGCCTCAAACTGTTAGAAGCTTCTCTGGCTGGCCTAGAGGACAATGAACATTTCATATCGGAAATTGAAAATCAACTTGCCAAACATCAAGACCTTCCCTCGACACCAGAACGTTTAGAAATGGTCTTCAAACAATTGACACATATGCAAGACTTGATCACACAACAGCAGCCACAAATGGACAAAATGACCGATGCTGCTGATCAATTGGGTCGCATGGGTGTACCGACAAAAGTATTGGGCGATTTGAAACGTTTACATGCAAATGTTGAACGTTTGAATACTCGTTGGAGTGCAATATGCAATCAATTGGCAGAGAGGTATGTATTGCAGTCGAAAAGTGTGCTCACTATTAAATTTTAACAATTGAAATCTGAAACAAACCAAATGAGTATTGCAAGGCGAATTTATAAAGAAGAAGAAAGTTCAATTTTTACATGTGAGGGCGTAAACTTAGATGAAAACTCTTTGCAAAAAGTAGTGAAAAGCTGCATTTAGTATTCAACCAAGAATCGTCGATCAATTCCTCCCATTTTCTTTCGAGTCATTTATTGGCAACACTCATATTATATTATTTTGAATACCTTGCCAACTACTTCTTTAGTTATACCAGGTACTTAATGTATTGAACTTTCCCCCAACTTTGACAGATCATAAATTATGTTGGTATGTTACATGCAGGTTCGTTTTGCAGTTATTCCATGTTCAATTTGCAAGTTTAAATCATTGTAAATTCTTCTTAAATTGCAAGCATATCTATATAATTAAACAACTTGTCTTAATATTTTCGCATGCTATGATTATCGGAATGTAAAGACTTTTTCGTTCATGCGGATCGACCACGTCTTAAATTCAATACGTCTCCACGTCACACGATGCCTGGCAAGGATTCCTAACTTTTCAACTCTGTGATCAAGATTACATGTTAAGACTGTCTGGGCTTTGTGAATCTCCTGTGATTAAAATAACAGGTCTGTCAAAGCTGCAATTAAGATACAAAGTGGAAATAAAGACACACCTTCACGTACTAAATAGGTATGCTCCCTCCATTGAAGCATTACCATCCATATTAGGGGAACCCTCAAAACTTCTTTAGTGTTTCTTACACACCTTCTTAAGTGGTTACACTTCAATGATTGCCTAAAATAGTGTTTTCAATTTTTTAAAATTAGTTGACACCTTTAATCAATGTAAAGAAACAACCCGGCCGAGACACAGGCCTGGTTATTAAAATCTTAGTATTTCCAGGCACTATGATATTGGATATGTAAAGACGGTTTCAATAATATGGATGTAGTTCAATATTAGTTATCAATAGTACATCGTCTTAAATTCAATTCGTTGCATGTCTCTGCTTCACATGATATCTGGCAATGGATCCTTAACTCTGCAACTTTGTGATTAAGATTACAAGTTAGGACTGCTTGTGACGAGCTATTTGGATCTTCTATGATGAGAACACCAAATCTGTAAAGGCTGCAATGAAGATAAATTATCACACACTTAAAATATTCTGATAATGGCTGATTTCGGACACACCTCCACGTACAAAATAAATTTGCTCCCTCCATTGAAGCATTGCCAACCAATGCCCTAAATTATTGTCACATTAGGCGAACCCTCAAAACATCTTTAGTGTTTCTTACTGCATACCTTCTTAAGTGGTTACACTTCAATGATTGCCCAAAATAGTTTTCAATTGACACCTTAACGCCATTTTAATAGAAATAAAACACATTTTGTGTTCTACCGCAAATGTAGTAATTTGTACTCACCTGTTTTTTGTGTGAATGTTAATTTAATGATATTTCTCCCCTTTTACAGAATGCGTTCATGCGAAAACGCCATTGGCCTTATGAAGAATCTCCAATCAAGCGTGCAAGTCGAAGAATCATGGGTAGATGGCACCACGGAAAGATTGTCAGCCATGCCTACGGCTACCTCAGCTTATGAATTGGATGTGAGTATAGTAAAGGCCGACAAGATTATATTTTATTTTCTTTTTCTACAAATATGATTTTAGTTAGTTTGAGATAGGATAGGATATTTTCTTTCTAGAGTAGGTTATTTGAATTTCAAATAACCCTTTCAGTTAGTTTCACTGAATATCAAATCTATTTTCTTGGAACATAGAATGAAAACACAAAGTATATATCCTTTCGATATCCGTTTTGAGTTAAAATATGGATACACAATATAAATTGCAATTGCATTTGTTTGAGAATTATTGTTATTGGTGTTGGTAAAAAAAATATATATTTTGTCCCGTGCTATCATATATTGTTATGTCCTCGCTCGCCACCCGATCCCCATACATCCCCTTTTTGAAATTAAAGTGTGTGTTGTTCATTTTTTTTTTCGTAATTAAGTTTATATTTGATTCAATAATTGTAGTTTGTATCTTAATGTTGTTGTTATTATTGTGTGTTCTAATATGTTGTTCCAAAAATACATATTGTGTTTGTCCATTATTTTTTGTACAACAAAATGTGTATGTACATACATATTACTTTGTAGAATTGAAGCTATTAGCAACAGCAAAAAAGAGTCCAAGTAGAACCTGTAATTTTTCCATAGGGTTAAGGGTGGTAGTTTAATTTGTTATAATTTTTATACAACATTTAAAAACGAAATGAATTTGATAAATTTGTGATTGATCTCTTGTTGCGTTCACTTAGAAATCAATATCAAACACCCACCCATACAAACAAACACACAGGCACACACATACACATTTTTAGTAAACATTGAATTTGGTCATGTACAAAAATACCCACAGTCAACACAACACACTCCCACATACCAACAATTATACTTTATCAAAATAAAATCACAAAATTGAAATTCCAGAACAAATAAGTCACCAACCAACAATACCAACACCACAGCCACCACAACCGTAACTTCAAGTTTACTTTTTTATAATCCAAATGTTTTTTTTTTCTAATGTCGTAGATATAGTTTTGTTTTGCAGAAGTTAGTATCTTAAAATATCATTTGTTTATATCTCTCGTTAAATTGTTGTACTAAATTAAGGGGTAATTTTAATTGAAATTCGCCATGAAATATGGCAATACTCAAATGGATCCTTTTGAGAAAAATTATTAAAAGACCATTGCATTGTTGATCAGAGTAAATATTAATATTTTTAAACTCTTATTAACGGGAGTTATTTTAAATTCCCTTGATCCCTATAGGGGAAAGCCTTCTTAAGTTTCGAAAAATCCCTTCGTGGCGAATAGTAAATTAAAATTAGCCCCAAAAACTATTATTGTAGACAAATCTTAAACTAATTGTATTTTTGTCTAATTTTTTGTATTTTTCACCCACAAACAAACAAAAACCAATACCAAAAACACATAAATACTATGTACTATCTTACCAAACAAACAAAAAAAAACACAATTCAAAACTAAAAAAAAAAAATTAAAACGGCCACAAACTGTGGTTTGGTTGAACACAATGTGACCAACGGGACTGCAAATTTACACCTATTTGTTAAAAATATGTCCTTTACCTCAAAAATTAAAAAAAAAAAACAAAAGAAATTGCTGGGAGCTGCTATCGAACGAAAACCTAAAATCGAAAATGTCAACTTGGCTGGAGGCAAACTAATAAGAGAAGCAAAGGTAAATGATGAAATCACTTGAATTCCCCCACTTTTTCTGTCCCCTATACACTATATCACGTCTGTCTGTATGTTTTTTGGAAAATTTTTGTAAAAAATTAGAATAACTGGCTGAATTTTTGAAATGCTAGGGGTAAGAGCATTTCGAAAGCTGCCATATTCGAGTTAGTTCATGTATATTAATGTTCTTTAGAACTGAACCCAAAAGGTATATTTACTGCTTTTTCAAATGACAAAAATAACTCAAGGATAAAGTATTAAATGACAAAAGGTTTAATTTTGTTTTGGTGGTGTGTAAATAACTTGAACAAAATTTATTTTAATATTAAAAAAAAAAAACAAAAAAATAAAACCAAAAACAACCAAATCAATTGTATTAAAAAAGCACTAAATATTTACTTATACTTTCGTACAAAACTTTATATCCTAATTCCTTAAAATTCTTTTACTTATAAACAAACAAAAAACCAAACAAACAAAAATACAATCACTAACCTCAACAAATAAATTTAACTTTTAACATTAACCCCCCTTCAACCCCCTAAAAAACAAACAACAATTTAAACAAAACCAAATAACCAAAAAACAAACCAACCACCACATTCGCCGTTCAATGTAAAGATCTACGATGGTAAATGTCTGCGCTTCATCGACTGGCTATTGGAAGCGCGTCCCTCATTTTCACCACCACGTCGTGATCTACGTCCCGCAGATAGTGATCCCGGCGCAACACAGTATTACAGCCAACGTTTGGACATTTTAAATACGAAATACGATCGATTGTTGGAACAATTATCACAGCGTCTAAAGACGGCTATCGAAGTTAACGGTAGCGATGGTTTGGTAAGTTTTGCAAAATTTCTATCATATTACCATTGTATGTGTGTATGTATATTATATATATGAGCAAGTTGTGTGTTTGAAATATGAATGAATTGAAGATTTTCTTTCGTAAATTCAACTGCAATAGATTCAAGTCTAATGGGCACCACGGGTAGGCACACGGTGTAATCAAGAAATTAAAACTTTGCAACGATAGCAGGGATCCGGCAACGAACATGGTTCCAATTGGCCCTTTATGTAGGTTAGGTTAGTGGATGTATAGTTGCAATTGAGATTGTAACTACCTCTCTCGGAGACCTTTCGGTCCTATGTGAGAAAAAGAAGTATTCCTTTTTAAGATGAAAGTTAAGAAGGATGAAAGTTGATAGGTCTTTGGAGAAAAGTATCGAAAACAGTTACCAGTAAACTATTTTTACGAATTTACAGGGTGAGATAAAAACACTGCAACAAAATCCTAACGCCATAATTTTTTCTTTTTTTTTTAATTTTATTGAATGAAAGCAAAAAATGTCGGAAATAGTATCACATTTTAGAATAAGTTTAGGTTTGTTCGAATTGGTCAACTCTGGCACGAATTATGGCCTTCAAACGGCCAATGAAACCGTCACACGCTGCCCGAATGTTGCTCTGCGGAATTTTGGCCCATTCCCGGCGAAGCGCTTGCTTGAGGTGATCGGCACTTTGGTATTTTTTAGTGCCAACCTTGCTTTCCATACTACTCTAGACACTATACGGTCCACGGATTGGTATCCAGAGGCTTTGGTGGCCATTGTGTGCTGGAAATAAGGCGAGGAACCTCATTTGCGGCAAAAATGTTTGCATGCCCAAGGCTTTAATACACCCTTCAAAATATTTTTGCTATAATATTCGGCATTTATTCTGATGCCACGGTCGATTAATACGAGCGCAGAGCGACCATCGGCTGTTATGGCGGCCCACACCATCACCATGGCGGGCGCTTGAGTTCTGGTGGCCAACCGAAGGTACACATTTTTAGCTAACCTCTTTGGCAAGTAAACACGATCATTTTGTTGGTTTACAAGCTGCTGGGCAACGAATGTTTTCTCATCGGAGAAAACCAAATTCGTCAGTTCACCACTTTCGGCCAATCGAAACAAATCTTTAGCTCTTTCTTTAGTCTATTTTCTTTTCGTTGCGGCTTGTAAACAATATAATGAGCTGTCACTGGATTAATTTTAACAGCTGTCGGACGAGTGGCTTAGAAATGACAGCAGTCTGAAGTTAGTTGACGTTTTTCCATCTCACCCTGTATAGATAACCAAGGAATCCGTGTCTGAATGTACACTGAGATCATGATAATAACATCATGAATAGAGTATTACACTTCCTCACCCTCACACTCACTGTAGTATTCGACGACAGAATTATTCCATTAAGACGTTCTTGATCGGATGTTTCAGTGGCCTGCTTTTATCCCTATTGTTATCCGTAACGTTGATTTATTCAAGCTTAATAGAGGGCAGATTTAATACCTTGCACCGTGGTTTGTCAACACACTTTGGCTTTCCTTTAATATAACGGTGACTAGGTACAAAGTCGGTGTGCAGATTTCCCAGGACTGTTTTATACCTCAGGACAGCATCGGAATTGATTTTCAAAGATAGTTTTAAGATATCATTATCACAATGATTTCTGCTTGGCAAACACTGCACCTTCCATCCAACTCGTGGGAGTTATTATTATTATGTAACAACAACAACAAAAAATATGCTTATGAAGTTTCATGCAATAAATTTAAAAAATGTCCATAAACTTTAGATAAAATATTGAAAAAATCCCCACTGTCCGTCTTAAAATAATGATAATAATATCATTTTTTGTTTTCACAATTACCACATTTCTGTTCTAAATAACATCAACTATTTTTATATAAATCAGTTTTATTTCCCCTTTTTGGTTATTCTAATCGCTGGCAGCTATTTAAATTGCTTAGCATTCTTTTCAAATTAGATTTATTTTTTTGAAAAATTAATTAAACTCTAGAATCATTTCCTAAATGGCTATGAATTTAAATTAGCATTTTTTGAAATACAAAAACACAACATGATTCTTTGCATTGGACAATCGGAATATTAAGTTTCAAACTGGTTTTGAAGAAACCAAATAAAAAACAAAACCAAACAAAACAGACTGAGTGAGTGAGTGAGCAGAGGCATATGCCGGTTTTGAGTATCAAAATAGCAACAAATTAAAAATCATTTAAATATTTGGCATTTGTGATGTCGTTAGACATATTCGAATATTTGTAAACACTTCAACGCGTCTGAGACCGTCAAAATAGTTACAAAATTATAATAAGAAATAGATTAATAAGTTTATTCTAATTTGTATCTCTGTCAGAGCCTACCTATTCTTTGTGTAGGTTGTTGGAATATAAATAATTCCAAAATTAGATATGTCATTTACATTTCTAATTGGCCAACGATAAATATCTGAGTTTTACGTTTAAGATATCGTAGAAACTACAAAACCCCGAGTGATTTCAATTCACTTGTTTTTTTTTTTTAAGATTAATAGAACCTGATGTTTTGCAAGCCATCTGATTTAATATTTAACTCAAACCAGTTCTGTTCGAACAAATAAACAAAGCCAAACTGCATTAACGAAACAATGGATTCAAATCGTGAAATAAATTTGTTTATACAAGCAATGGCAACAAATTAACAAATGAATAAAACATAACAAATAGCCTTACGGATGATGACGTGATATCTGGTCAGAACTGAGAGAAAAGAAAACCAACAACTACACTTATGATGTTCTCTGCTGCATTAAGCCAAAGTTTGAGGCTGAAATCGTCAATCATGGTCGTCGTCATCGTTTAAAACTAATTTATCCAAATTATATGGTTTTCATTTGGTGGCAATTAATTTGTCACCTCTCTGGCATTGCCACCCACTTCTTACCGCTCCTTAAGTCAGCGTTAAAAATAAACATGTACCCACATACGACACCACCAGTAGTAAGCCTCGTTCTTTGGTATCATATTTTTTTAGTTTCGTTGCTACTTTAGAATATTAATTTTTATTCGGTTCGAATGTTGTTTAACTTCAGCAAAATCTTGTTGACAATGAGTTCATTAGCTGCCGAAGCTGCTGCTATTTTTTCTATTATTTCTATTAACTCACCAAATGCTTTAAAAATAAAGCATAACATCATGCAAATTTTGAATTGTCTATTTGTAGTAAATCCCATTCTCCCATGATGAAGGTGGTCAATTGATGGATTAGTGTTGCGTTGAAAAAGCAAAGCAAAATAAAACAAAACTATAAACGATGATTGAACCCCCATTTGATTTGTCATTGATCACTGAAATTTGTATTCAGAGATATGATTTCATGTGCAGCCAACAACAAAAACATCAAATTGACTTTATTTGTCAAAATTCTAATTAGATTTTGGACACATCGTCATTGGGGTGATGTATTAATTAAAGTATTTCTAAATTGTATGTGGTTAATGAATAAAGTTGACAACAAGAACTACAAAAAGATAATGTATAATTTATATATCTCATCATAAATGAGTAATTTATTGTTTTAAACGAAGACCATTTATATTCCTTTCGAAAGGTGCTCGAAGATCTAAAATGTGCAGGAAAGTAAAAAAAGATACCGCGCACTAACAACACAATTATGCAAAGCATTAAATATTTAAGTATTTTTCAATCCTAGCAAATTCCCCATAAACAATCATTATGCCTGACAGCTGGCGCTCTCATAAATATGCCGATTTAATATTCCATTCGAGAAAAACATCTGTCAAATCGAAACTTCGCTTGCATCTCATTAATACAAATTTAAAAGTTAACCCGATACTTCCAACTTGACTTTATTATCAAATTTATTTATTTTGGCCCAATAACTCACGTCACATTTATGTTATAAACCTCCAAAGAAGTAGATTAATCTTTATGGCCTTACAAGTTTTGTTTTCATCGAAATTAATCAATTCGCTCTTCATTTGAACATTCGATGACACTGTTGCTTTTCACACTCACAAAAGAGAAGCCAATGTTATTGTTGTGATGTCATCCAGCTGAACATGATCATCACTCACGCATTTATAAACAAACATACAAATAGAGTATAGGGCGACCTCATGACACACACACCCTTCCTCCTATACTCACTTTGCTCATTCGTTGTTCACACGTTTTTTTTTTTCGTCTTTTTTTTTTGACAAATGCCTTTTTTTACACACACAATACAAAAACAAATTCAAATGAAAAGGAGAGTTTTTTTCTTAATTTACATATTATTTTTTGTTGTTATTGTTATATTTGTTTTCAAGGTTAATTTAATAATCTTAAACAATATAATTTGAGTGTTTTATTATTAATTTTTTGTGGTTGTTATTATTTTCATAAAATGCCGCCATTGGCGTTACAATCGGAGGAGAGAACAAAAGACATGAAGAGAGAGTTGAAAGATTTTTATGTTAGAATTTGCATTGAATTCGTAACTATTTGGGTGGACTTTTTGATAAGATCTCACATTAGTCTTGGACGTTTTGAGTTGTTAAGGAACTTACATTTTATAAAAAAAAAAAAAACAAGTAAAATAGTATCAGTCGGGTTTGCCGACAGCTGTATACCCCCAACCTTGAGTTATGATTATTCAAACTGTTGACCGTTTGTGGTGGGAGGTTCCGAAGCAGTTGGAAAATATTGACCAATTGACAGACTACTTCCTATACTTTATATGAGATATGTGCAAATTTTTGGAAAATGTGGAAATATGCTAGAGGTAACAGATATAGCGGACCGATGTATTCCATATTCATACTTCATCTAATACAGATAAAAAATGAGGAATGTGCAAAATTTAAAGGAAATCGAACATATATTTCCAATTCAATTCGAAATCATAAATTCCATATTCATATCAGATTTCTGGTTAAGAGAAATATTTAGATGTAAAGAATCGCCGACTGGTTTCGCAAGTTATGACAGATATAAGTATCGAAAATTGTAAACC